GATAAGCTTCGATGGGATTTTATTAGAGATACTTTAGCTTAATTTGGCCTTCCCAGTTCCTGGATTAATCGTATTATGTTTTGTGTTGAAAGTAACAGGATGAAGATTAACTGGAATGGCAGACTTACGGACATCATCACCCCCACCAGAGGAGTTCGTCAGGGAGATCCACCCTCGCCCTACCTGTTTGTCTTATGTATGGAACGCTTAGCTCATCGTATTGAGCAAGCAGTAGCGGCAAGGGAGTGGAAATCTCTATCTCTAACCCCTAATGGCCCAAAATTGTCACATCTTTTCTTTGCTGACGACCTTATCCTTTTTGCAGAAGCGAAGGTGAACCAAATTGAGATAATTAGGAAATGCTTGGATGAATTTTGTGCCAGTTCTGGTCAGAGTGTTAATCTTGCGAAGTCTGCAATACTAGTATCAGCTAACATACCTCGTTGCAGAGCCCAAGTTCTCAGCAACAAAGCGGGAATTCCACTCACTAATGACTTGGGGAAATACTTGGGGCTGCATACAATCAATGGAAGGGTTTCAAAATCCAGGTATGAAGAGTTGTGCCTAAAGATTCAAAAGAAGCTGGATACATGGAAAACCCGCTACCTATCTCTAGCAGCGCAAATTAATTTGGTGAGATCTGTTTCAGCATCTATGGCAAATTATCCTATGTTTATAGAAGCTCTTCCTTCTTCTATCTGTCACACTCTTGATAAATGTAACAGGCAGTTTGTGTGGGGTGAAGAAGAGGGAAAAACTAAATTCCATAATGTCAACTGGGAGGAGATGACCTTACCTAGAGCCCAAGGAGGAGCTGGCATCATATCAACTAGAATAACTAATCAAGCCATGCTAGCAAAAAATGGTTGGAAGCTGGTTACAAATGATAATTCCCTCTGGACTCAAGTTCTTAAAGACAAGTACGGGAATACTAGAAATGGACTACAAATTTTTAAAAATCTAAAGGGAAGTTCTCTTGCCTGGAGAAGTTTTGCTTCTACCCGTAATGTGCTTAAAAAGGGTTATGTGATGAACATAAAAAGTGGTCATAACACGAAATTTTGGCTCGACCCTTGGCTTTTGCAGGTACCATTGATTGAGGTGGCTACTGCAGATGTTCCAGACAGCATGAGAAGCTGCTTAGTAGCTGATCTCTGGGACCCGGGACATGGCTGGAAGCTTACGGATTTTCAACACCTGCTTCATTTCGACATCGTTGATTAATTCTGTCAGTAATGGTGGATCCAATGGCGGTGGAGAAAGACGAACCAGCTTGGAATCTTACTGCTAATGGACAACTTAGCACCAAATCAGCTTATGATGCTCTACTCCCTCAACAGCAGACTACACCGCCAAATATATAGAAAGCGATTTGGAGGCTACAAGTACCAGAAAGAATGAGGGTTTTTACTTGGTTGGTAGTGAAGGGGAAGCTCATGACCAACAACATCCGTAAACATAGGCACCTCACAAATGATGAATCTTGCCCTGAATGTAAAGATAAAGCGGAGACCAGCCTCCATGTTCTAAGAGATTGCAAGATGGCAAGGGTTGTCCGAGACAGAGTCATCCAACCGGCAAGCCTACAACCTTTCTTCAGTAATAATTACGACAATTGGATCAGTTCAAATTTGACAAGTCAGCTGCAGGAAAATTGGCCGAGTTATTTTAGCCTATTAATCTGGTACATTTGGAAGTGCAGGATTGATCATATCTTCAAGGGAATCAAGTTAACCCCCTTCACTCTTCACAACTATGTTACGGTCAAGGCTAAAGAATGGATTAATGCTTGGGAGTCAGCAAGCAGCAACATGAACCTGGTGGACAAACCTATTCGGACGGCCAGCTTGATTGGGTGGAATGCTCCAAAAGTAGGATGGTTCAAAATTAATACTGATGGTGCAGCCCAAGGCACTTCAGGAATCATCACAGCAAGAGGTGTATTACGAGACTGTCATGGAGTTTGGATAGGAGGATTTTGCAGTAAAATTGGTTCAGGTAATGCTCCAATGGCTGAATTGTGGGGCATCTTTCAGGGTTTGAAATTGGCTTGGGATAACAGAGTTCAGTTTCTCATCCTAGAATCAAACTCACAACTGGCACTACAACTGCTTGAGAAGAGGACAGATACAACGCATCCTTATGCTACTCTTCTAGGAGCCATTCGTCGCATGATTGCGCAAGGATGGGTTGTTCAACTAATTCATACGTATCGCGAAGGGAATAGAGTCGTGGACTGGCTCTCAAAGCATAGTCTCGTCCATCCCTTTGGTACATATGAATTAGATGAACCCCCGTTAGAACTTATGAGGATTATGAGAGAAGACGTTCAAGGAATTAGTTTCCCCAGACAAGTGCTGCAAGATCCAAGTGTTGCTGAAGATTGATCCTTGCTGGTTTATACTTTTGCTCCTGTCCTTCGGCTGCTTTAAGTCTTTGCGTGTTGCTGTAGCCGGTTAGGTTTTGTATCTGCTGCTGTGCACTTTATGTGCCTCACTCTTGGCATTTTTGCCTCCCATTAATAAAATAAAAACAGATTTGCGCAAATCATTAACTCCTAAACTCAAGAACTATAGGAAGGGTAATCTACTGAGCTAGCCTCCCGTTATGCGCCAATGCTTGGACTTGACCGACCAAAAATCAATGTTTCACAAAAGAACTAAGAACATAGAGGTTGGTTGTCATGTCATACGAGAAAGAGTACAAAGTGGTCTAATTAGTTTACATCATCTATCTACTACATATCATATTGCAGATTTGTTTACTAAGAGCATGTGAATTGATCGGTTCAAGATGTGATTGTACAAGCTGGGAGTATCAGAAGACACTTGCCAACTTGAGGGGGCATAATGAAAAATCGATCGATTCTAGGAAGAGCATTATGAGCAGCTTGGTCTTCAAGGAACTTCTGCAAAACAGAGAAGCTTCTGCACACGGGGAGGTTAAGCTTGATATCTGGAACGTCGTCCTTCTTCATTAACTCGAAGCCATCTCAAGGTTTTGTTTTAGCAATCCAAAATGGCAGTGTTCCGCTTTGAAGCAGTAAATAAATCGATAGTAAAACACGTGTATAGTTTCTATTGGTAGGATAAAAAAGTTAGTTTTTCTATTTTTACTATACCTTAGCCGTTGGTTTACTTCCCTTCTTCTGCAAGTTTACAACAATATATACCGTAATCAGGAAATGAAGGCTCTCCTCCATTGAGATCCCTTCCCAAAAATCCTATTATTCATTTTCTACTCAAGCTCTAAGAACTATTTAAGTACCATTCATATGAAAAAAGCAAAAATACAACTATTCATCTTTGGATATATCTATGTCTCAAACTTATAGTGGAACACGTTATTATTGAGGAATTTTACAATGCTATATAGCATTGGTGCTATAGGTTTTTGCTTAATGGGGCATCTTGAAATTGTACTTTTAACGTTATGATACAACTTCAGATTGTACCTGTACTTTTTGTACAAATTCTTTTATGGTACAACTTGAACTCGTACATTCATGTGATGGTACAACTTCAAATTGTGAGGTTGTAGTCTAGGGGTGGCAGTTCGGTTGTCGGTTAGCGACTAACTGGACGGTTAGACCGATAACCGCCGGTTAGCGGCTAACCAAAAACCGACTGTATACAGTCTCGGTCGGTGGTCGGAGTGGCTGGTAGGAGAGTCGGCTAGCCGAGCAACCGAAATCGGCTATCCGATTAACCGAGGCCAACCGACCCATATAAAACTCGCGCCCAAATGCCCACCCCAAACCCTATCCTCCTTCTCCTTCGTCGACCTCGACCCCTCTCTTCCCTCACCACCAGCAACCACCCCCCGTCGTCTCCCATCGGCCAAACCATCGACGGCGCCCATATGAAGCTCTCCTCCAATTAACCATTCCCTTCCCCCATCTGACGAACCCTAAATCCCAAAATTTGTGAATCCACTTCTCTCTGAATCTTCTTCTTCTCCTTAAATTTTCGAATCCCTAAATCTTCTTCTTCTCCCATTAACCATGTCCAATTCCGCCGCCGCCGCCATGATCGACCTTTTATTCCACCCTCACCTCCACAGACACCACCACCAGCACCAGCCGTCCTCCCCTGCATCCTCCGTTCCCCCTCCTTCCACCGCCACCACAACTTCCTCCATAGCTCCGCCTCCAACCGTCGCGACCTGCAGGCAAGCAGGCCGCCTCCACCCGCCGCGCCGCCTGCAGCCTCCAACCGCCGCCGCGCGAACGCCGTCTCCCTCCGCCTCTGTCCGCCTGCTTCGCGAGGTCGCTCCTCCCTCTCCCGTCGGCGGCAAGTCCTCCTTCTCGGCTGCTTCTTGAATCTTGAGTGCAAAAGAAAGGGGAGAGAAGGATGGAGGAGAGAGACGGAGAAGATAATGAATAAGTGGGTGGTGGTGGAGGGTTTGAAAGGAGAGAGAAGGATGGAGGAGATAAAGAATAAGTGGTTCCTGCATTATTTTTATTTTTTTAATTTTTAATTTTTTTTAGATTAGGGTGTGGTTTTCGGGCATGAGGTTAACCGAACCAAAATCAGCTAACCGATCGGTCGGTGGTCGGCTAGCCGCTGTATCTTTCACGGTCGGTGGTCGGTAGCCGGAGGTGGTTGCTCCGTTTAACCGATAACCGAGAAATCAGTTTTCGGTTAAACCAAAACCGACCGACTGACACCCCTAGGTTGTACCATAACATAATGATACAAATTTATTTATAGTACAACCTGAATTTATATATTAACGTTATGATACAACTTCAAATTGTACATTAAAATACTAATACTGTATAACATAGTAGAAGTCATTATTATTATTTTGGTTCTTCCAAATACGTATCAAGTGGATCAAAAAGTTATGATAAATAATTGCTTTCTTCATTAACAGAAGTACAGAACTCTTTTAATACTAGACAAAGTCCCTCCAATCGAGACCATGAAAATTTTCTACTTCCCTGCTCAGATGCAAAACGAGATATCCCATATCTGTAGAATCTGTCAGAAGTCAGACCTTACTAATTAACAGATCCTCTCTCTCTCGTGTTATACTTTGCGCAACTGTAAGCTGTAAGCCGTACCCGAAACCAATCCTCGAAGAAATGGATTTCCTCCAGGGTTGCTTGCTTTGCCTTCTCCTCACCATCTTCCATTTCCTGGCAAGAAAAGCCAGCAAGACTCCCAGCAAGCTCCCGCCGGGACCCGCCCAGCTTCCAATCATAGGCAACCTCCACAACCTGGGCGACCAGCCCCACAAATCACTAGCCAATCTGGCCAAGATCCATGGCCCCCTGATGAGCCTCAAGCTCGGCCAAGTCACCACCGTCGTCGCTTCTTCCCCTGCCGTCGCCAAAGAAATCCTCCAAAAGCACGACCAGGTCCTCTGCAACCGCCAGGTCCTCCTCGCCATACAAGCCCGCGACCACCACCAGTTCGGCATGCCGTGGCTTCCCGTCGAATCCAGGTGGAGGAACCTCAGAAAAGTCTGCAACTCCTACATCTTCACTACCCAGAAGCTGGATTCCAACCAGGAGCTCCGGAGGAGGAAGATTGAAGAGCTCATTGAAGGTGTTCGACGAAATGGGTGTGAGGTGCAAAAAGAGGTGGATATTGGGAGGGAAGCGTTCAGGGCCAGTCTGAATGCTCTGTCGTCGACGATTCTTTCGCTGGATCTGGCGGACGATGAGGGATCTGAGACTGCCAGGGAGTTTAAGGAGGTTGCAAGGGGGATTATGGACGAGGCGGGGAAGCCCAATTTAGGGGACTACTACCCTGTTCTGGGCAAGATGGATTTGCAGGGAATACAGAGGCGTATGAGCAATCATTTCAGGAGAGTTTTGGAGCTGTTTGGTTCGGTGATCGATGAGCGGCTGGGGAAGCAGAAGTCGGGGAGCTATGTCTCCGGCAACGACATGCTCGACACGCTTCTCGTCATCGGAGAAGACAATCAGGAGGCTTCCATGGATACAGAGCAAATCAAACACTTGTTCTTGGTGAGTTTATACTATACCATGATTTACGTTGACTTAATGAAGTACCCACTAATTTCCAGAGCCTGTGAATGAACGCATTTGTTTTTAGACTGATTTCGGGGGAAATCTTTCAAAAGCTCTGTTTTTAGGAGTGAAATTTTACAATGTTATATAGTATTGGTGCTATAGGTTTTTTACTTTGTGGTACAACTTCAGATTGTAACTATACTTTTTGTACAGATTCTTTTATGGTACAACTTGAACTTGTACCTTTATGTGATGGTACAATTTCAAGTTGTAAAGTTGTACCATAACATAATGGTACAAATTGCTTTATTGTACAACCTAAACTTATACATTTAATGTTATGGTACAACTTTATGCAGAGCAAATCAAACACTTGTTCTTGGTGAGTTTATACTATACCATGATTTACGTTGACTTAATGAAGTACCCACTAATTTCCAGAGCCTATGAATGAACGCATTTGTTTTTAGACTGATTTCGGGGGAAATCTTTCAAAAGCTCTGTTTTTAGGAGTGAAATTTTACAATGTTATATAGTATTGGTGCTATAGGTTTTTGTCTTTGTGGTACAACTTCAGATTGTAACTATACTTTTTGTACAGATTCTTTTATGGTACAACTTGAACTTGTACCTTTATGTGATGGTACAATTTCAAGTTATAAAGTTGTACCATAACATAATGGTACAAATTGCTTTATTGTACAACCTAAACTTATACATTTAATGTTACGGTACAACTTTGAATTGTACATTAAAACACCAATGCTATATAGCATAGTAGAAGTGTTCGTCATCTAATTATTCAACTTCAAAACATCTCAGCTTTGTCCTTGCCGTTGTTAGGCAATAAGACTTCCCATTTCCAGCAACACTTTATTAAGTGATTAGAGAATAGGATTGTTGAAAGAAAGAAACATCTAAAGGAAAACGTCACATGCACTGAAGTAGAAATAAAGCAACAAAAATCGGATCTGCAAATCTGGTTCTGATACGAATTTTGATTACTTTTTACAATCATAAACAATGTTATATGGACTAATGCCTATGCCCTAAGAATTATTGACCTTATTTTATGGGGTAATTGTTGTTCACGTGGCCTATCAGGTTCTATTTGTAGCTGGAACTGACACAACTTCAAGCACACTAGAGTGGGCCATGACAGAGCTTCTTTGTAATCCCAATGTGCTCGCTAAAGCTAATGAAGAGCTTGATCAAATTATCGGAAAAGGAAACCCTCTTGAGGAATCAGATATCCATAAATTACCATATCTACAATCCATCATCAAAGAGACTTTTAGGTTGCACCCAGCAGTTCCACTTCTACTCCCCCGCAAGGCAGGAGCAGAAGTGGAAATTTGTGGCTTTGCAGTGCCCAAAGGTGCACAAATTCTCGTGAATGCATGGGCTATAGGCAGAGATCCGTCGACGTGGGATGATCCGAACTCGTTCGTGCCAGAAAGATTTATGGAGTCGTCGGTTGATGTGAAGGGAAACAATTTTGAGTTGATCCCGTTTGGCGGCGGAAGAAGGATATGTCCTGGATTGCCACTAGCATTGAGAATGTTGCATATGATGTTGGGTTCACTCGTTCATTGGTTCGACTGGAAGTTGGCAGATGAAATTGTGCCAGAAAAGTTGGATATGGAAGAGAAGTTTGGACTCACTTTGCAAAAGGCCAAACCTTTACTTGCTATCCCGACTCCCAGATAAGATTGTGATAAGATGATGACATGACATTGTGTGAGAGAGCTCTTTATGTCAAAATGTACTATTGAGTGATTTCGATGGCATTTTTCCCATTTCATTCTCTTTTCGTTGGTTATTGGCCCCAAAATTCGAATTCACCGTGTGGTGGATGTTTCCATCCCAACCATTGGCACATTACCACCGAGTCAATCCATTGGGATCGATTGCTTTTCATATCAAACTCAATGTTACATTTTTATTCAAGCATGTGGCACTAGTTTGATAATAAAACAAGTGGAACTATTTTTATTTTATTTTTTGCCATGGATATCCCCAAAGATAATAGTAGATACGAAGTACAAAATAAAGCCTTTGTAAGCTGAATTAAACAAGTGGAACTATTCAATCGATGCTGTACAATTATTTTTTATTAATACTTTTCAATTATTCCTAGTAAAATCATCATTATTATTTTCAATATTGGTTTCACATATATGTTATGTTTGTTTGTAAATGATGATATGCTTTGTAACCGTGGCAATTTGTTAGGAAAGTTAACATAAAATTATCCTTCATAAATAGAAGGTAGTATTACTACAAATGGCTAATACCCAAAAATTATTGAATATGTTGGTGGTAAAATGAATTTTATTTTCGTGCTTAACTTTATTAGAATAACAAACAAGAAAATGAAACATATTAAATGTAAGGAAAAATTGTAACACTATAAAAATCACTCATTGAAAGTTGACTCTTCTAAAATCTTTTTAACTAATAACATATTTGAAAATTTCATGGTCCATGAAACTGTACCGTACCGGCGATTCAACCAAAAAATACCAGTATTGGAGGCTAAACCGGTAGGCGGTATTTAACGGTACTAACGATTGAACTACAGTTAAACCAAAGTTTTGTCATAGAATACTCTACCACTAACTTTTCCGGTACGGTTTCATGGTCAAAATTTTGATATTGTCAAATATAAACTACATTTATCAAATGAATGTCTACATTTGGCAAAAACACCAAACAAATCACTCCTAATACAACATTGCCAAGTACATTCTAGTACCTGTATGATTAAAATGACAATCAGGAGGCTTCCATGGATGCCGAGCGCATTAAGCACTTGTTCTTTGCGAGTATTTTCAAAGTCAAATTCAATTAATCGAATATGTTCAAAATGTAGAGAAGACAAAGTTTGAAACGTTACTCAATTATGTATGTTTTTCCGCCTCAGAGTTCATAGCTGGGACTGATACAACCACAAATACGCTAGAATGGGCAATGATAGAGCTGCTACGAAATCCAAGTACACTCACAAAAGCGAAGGAAGAGTTAGATCAGATAATTGGAAAAGGAAATCACCTTCAAGAGTCTGACATCTCTCGATTACCTTATTTACAATCAATCCTTAAAGAGACTTTCAGATTGCACCATGCTGTGCCTCTGCTACTCCCTCGCCAGGCAAGAGAAGAAGTCTAGATTCATGGCTTCACCGTCTCCAAAGGTGCACAAATTATGGTCAATGCATGGGCTATAGGTCGGGATCCGGCAACATGGAACTATCCGAATTCGCTCATTCCGGAAAGATTCTTGGGATTAGAGGTTCATGCTAAGGGGAACAACTTCGAGTTGATTCCATTTGGAGCAGGAAGAAGGATCTGCCCTAGAATGTTGTTGGCGATGAGGATGTTGCATATGATATTGGGCTCATTGATTCATTGGTTTGATTGGAAGCTGCCGGATGGGGTAGAGCCCGAAAGTTTGGATATGAGAGAGAAATTTGGAATTACTTTAGAAAAGGCCAAACCGTTGGTTGCTATTCCTACTCCTAGATGAGATGACGAGATGATCATATGAGCATTGTCCAAGAAAGATCTTTACTTGATAAGTATTGTTTAGTGATTTAGTTTTCATTCAAGATTTGACTCGATGAAGTTGCTAGGTTATTGTTCTTATTTCGTCGGTTATTGACTCCAAAATTTGAAAGTGTGGATGTGTCAATCAGGCGGGTTCGGGTTGGGTTCAATCGGGTTGCGGGTTAGTTGGGTTTTGGGTTCATCGGGTTGCTGGTTCATAGGGTTGCAGGTTTATCGGATTTCGGGTCAGGCGGGTTGCAGGCGGATCGGGTTGTTTGGGTCACCGCATCGAGTTACTTACTCCTTACTAATTACCAACTTACACATTTTATTACACTAATTTAAAATATTTTTCACAATGTTGAATCAATTTATATGACGTGCAAACTTGTTATGTAATTAATAGTAATTGATAAAGTACACTAACTAATAGTAATGATGATATAAACATTTGCAACCAAAAGACATAATTAATTGTTTATTTGGTATTTTAGTATTATTTCAATAGTAATTGGATTAAAGTATCTCGTTTAGTAGAATCATGCACTGGTATTTGATGTGTGGTATTTGGCAAAAGCAGAGTGGTAAAAGGAGCTATTTCGAAATAACTCATTGCCCAAATAACTTCAGTAAAATTGTTGCCAAACAAGTTATTTGTAAAATTGTTCGAATTACCCAAAATATTGAACCATTAAAGATTAACTATCAAATTTAGTAAAATTGTTGTGACTTCAATCATAACTTACTCAATAACATATATCCTATACACTTAACCTCTACCCTTAATCGACAATATTAAGTTAGTATATGTTGCTCATTGTATACCCTAAACCATCAATACTTTATACACTAACCATGTACCCTATACACTAACCACATACCATATACCCTAACCATATATCTTTATGAGTTGTGATTTTGTTACTATAGTTAATTTAAAGTAAAATCGACTTTGATTTTCAAAACATAGATAAAAAGTGATATTTGCTATACCCTAGACTTTGATTGTCAATCAATGATCCTGCTATATTTCCATAAGCAAAATCTAGACAAGTCACTAATGTTATCAACAACATCTTATGGGAGATGGGAAACCAGACTTAATAATAAGGGAATTCAAATGTTGGTCCATCGAATTGGGGAAAGTTTTCCCTCCTTATATTAACACCTTATACCTCATTATTCTTATATTAACCTATACCCTAAACCAGAAACCATGAACCTTGAACTTATATCATACACCATGAATATTGAACTCTAAACCCATAATTATGTTAGTATATGCTGTTTGTGAGTTGAATCGCAACACTAATCAACACCTTATACCTTACACCCTGAACTATAAACCCTCACCCTATACCATAAACCCTTAATATTGAACGCTCAAGCCATAATTAAGTTAGTATATGTTGTTGTCCCTTGAATAGTTATAGTAACCTTAATCAAATTACCAAAAAATACATTACTCTATTATATTTATATTTAATTGATAACTTTCCTTAATAGTTAAATTAGCCACAATTTCGATGAATATGTACTATATTAATAGTTAAATTGAACTAATAAAGCAATAAAACAAAGCATGGTACATGATTGAATAATATAATGTGTGTTATACACATCCACGTCAATGGGCTTATATAGTTAAATAATTATAGAATAATTACTATGGAATTTGTAAAACTATTTGTGATTATTTAATATCAGTGATTAATATATTGTAAATGTAAATTTATATTATTGGTCAATGAAAAAAACTTAATAATGTCTTTTTTTTTTGTAAAAAAACCAAGCAAATCTTTAAGAATGCATTTGCCGCAAATTAATGAAGGAATCCAAAGGAAGCAAGTCCAAAGGAAGCTGTGGTGGGTCAGAAATCGACTGGCAGGGCATCCACGGAGTCAAATGAGGTGCGGGAGACCTTCCATGCAAGTATGGATGACAATGAGTCGGGTTGGGGCGGGTTTTGTCAAACCCAAACCCAAACTCAAACTCATGGGTTTATCCGCAGGGGTGGAGCTACGTTGGGACTCGGGGGGTGGGGTGGCCGAGGGTTTTGAAGATCGTGTTAAAATACGACGAGAATTTGAAGTTACGTATTAAATTTAGATACATTTATATATACTTGTATTGTGCAGTTTAATTGTTGAACTTATTACTTTTGTCCATCGGATAAGTGTACTTTTTTACCACTACTTGTCTTTTTAAAGTTGATTTTTCATACTTTGATTTCATGTAAATTTAATTGAAATTATACATTTATATCTTCAAAGATAATTTTAAATATATAGTAAATAAGTCAATTATTTTCCCATTTTTTATAGACATTCATTTGTTACTTATCATAAATTGAAGAACATGGTACATTATTTTTTGTTGAAATTTATTTAATAATTTTGAACATGTCGTTGATAAATTTTTTAATTTAAATCATACTTTTAGTGATTATAATTATCTTAAATAACATTTTGTGGGGTGACATCTATATATTTTTTTTACGATAATAAAATTTTCTGCCCTCCCGAACTTAAAATCCTGGCTCCGCCCCTGTTTATCCGCCAAAAAAAACCCGGGGTAAACCCCGTTGGGTTTGAAAAACTCAAACCCAACCCAACCCGCTGGGTATCCGCGGGTTCATGAGTACCCGTGGGTTTTTGTGGTAAAAAATTTACAATAACAAGTTTCTTTCAAAATAAAAGTTTAACATCAATTTTCTCATACAAATTATTCATACAAAAAACACTAATCTAGAGCATACAAGTAAACCGCAAATGATCAATATAAATTGTTCAAAATCAAAGATAAACATCTATAAACCACAAGATTAATTGAAAGTTTCTTCCTCGTCAACTAAGTTTCTTCACTCTTCACTCTATAATATCAACTTCATTCTAAACAATTAGAAAGAACAAATTATACATGTCTCCACAAATATAAAGAATATTACTTGTTTAAGAAAGATATATTACTTAGAATATTAAATATACCGGAAAAATAATTATATGTGTGTGGGCGGGTACCCATGGGGCGGGTTTACCTAAACCCAAACCCAACCCGGTGAATAGTGTAGCGGGTTTAAACCCGAACCCGGCCCAAAACCCGTCAACACGGATTTTACCCGCGTTGACCGGGTTGGGTCGGGTGGGTACCCGTGGGTTCGGGTTTTGTTGCCATCCCTACATGCAAGTAACGCAGGTAACAGTGACAAATCAGCTCCCCGCGTGTCGTCGCAACATGCAGTGAATAGGGTGGATGCACGAGTGGCTGCCTCCTTTTCTCCGCCGGTAAACAAGCCTGTTGCGCCTGGCCTAACAGCCAAACAGACTCCAGCTGGGAAGGCCAACACGAGCATGGTAAAGATGCCAGGCCAAGGAAGCATTCGCCAGGAACTTGTAGATGTTCCGATTACACAAGTCACCGGGACAGGTGGCCTTGACACCGG